ATGTCCCACACATGTACTTACTTGCATGTATGGCTAGTCGTACTCTTGTTATTTAAATAATCAAAGAGCTTAAATAGATAATCTCCTAGTTTGGTGGCTAGTATAGAACCTAGGTGGACTACTTAAATTAAGTACTAAAAGTACACATATGACTAGTTGTATCCTCGTGAAATTGATATAAAAATTGACTTACCCGACAAAAGGAAAGAGCCGACGGACCTAAGAGGCCACCTTAATAATAAAAAAAAAAAAAAACTATAATTTAGACTAGATTTTCTTAATGTTCAAATAAATAAAACTTAAAAGAGCAAATAAATGCTCCCTTAATTCTATTATATCTTGCAGTAACATAATAAGGTTTTGGGAGCAATGAAGCTATCTACTTTTGTCATAGTAAAGAAATTATTATATTCATATAAATAAAATTTAAATTATTAAAGTTGATACCTTCTCTATATCTTGTAACTATTTAAGACAAAATTTACATTTTTCTTTAACAATTTCTGACTATACTTTTTCTAGAATAAGATGTAGTTGATTGCAATTATTGTCTTCTGTTTACAAACTATATAATCTCTATATCTTATGCAAAACTTTGCTTATAGTAATATTTTCTGATGGTTTAGTTTTTAAAAATTCATACAAAAAATAAAATTTTTAGATATTAGTATTAAGTGAGGATGGATATGAAGACTAATAATTATAACAATTTATCAGTTTCACAAAATCTGCATATTTATCAGCCAATTATTTTTTAATAAATTACATATCTGTTTAACTTTTATATTAAAAAATGATTTTTGTGTGTATACAAATATTCTATTTTAAAACATAAACACATTGTTTATTTTATTTTTTGGATAAAAACCTCTCCTCTTGATAAATTGATGACAATGTGGTGGTTTTTTTTTGAATTCTATAGATCTATAGAATTTAAATTAAAAAAAAAATTGTTTGATTTGATTAAGTAGTATAGCTTCTATTTTGATAGAGGTTTTGGAATTTTTTAAAATTTTTATTAAAAATATCTTTTTTAATTAAATTCTACTAAATTCAGATAAAATTCTTTGATTTAACCAAGTAGTTATTAAATAAATTTATTTTTAAAATCACATTATTTTAATTTCTTTATGTTGTGTGATTGTATAGAAGTAATTCTATTTAATTACATCTCTATAATTACCAAAAAGTGCTAGCACTAGATAAAATTGGTAATCATATAAAAAATTAACTATATTAACTGCTAACAAGTAACTTATATAAACTCATAAACTTTTTTTGACTAATATATTGATCAATAATGATAATTAAACTATAATTCTAAGGCTGTTATTAAAAATTTACATTATATAATTTTTGCTATTATATGTTTAGTCAGAAGTAATTTTATACTTTTTTGCATGCTAGCTCTATAAAAATTTTGGCCAACATTATTCTTGCAATTTACTTTCAAAAAACTTAAATTCTTGTAAAATTACACAAAATTATGGTAATTTGCTAACTTACTTCAAGCAAAATTAAGTAAATTTCAGCAAAATTAAGTATAATTCCAGGCAGTATTAAAATATAATTTCAGGTAAAATTAATATAGTATTAGGCAAAATTAAAATATAATTTCAAGCAAAATTAACTATTAATTTCGGGCAAAATTAGATATAATTCTAGGCAAAATTAAGTTATGCAAAATTGGAATATAAATTAAGTATAATTCCAGGCCAAATTAAAATATAAATTTAGTGAAAATTAAGTATAAATCTGAGTATAATTCTGAGTAAAATTAAGTACAATTTTATGCAAAATTAAATATAAATTCAGGCAAAACTAAATTATAATTTTAAACAAAATTAACATAATTTTAGGCAAAATTAAAATATAATTACAGGCAAAATTAACTATTAATTCAATTAGGGTTGTATAACTTACCGTAAGTTATTTTTAAAATATAAGTTACATTTTATGTTGTATAAGTAACTATGTAAGGTAAGTAATATAATGTAAGATAAAAAAAAATCATGAAAAAATTTTTTTATTATTTATCAATTTAATATACCTTATAATAAAGAAACTTTTTGGGATGGATTTGAAAAAATAGTAAATAAAAAAGGACAAGAATGGTAGAAATGTAAGGCTTGTAATAATTCTTGGGTCAAAAATGAAATATAAATGCAAGAACATTACAACTGTTACAATTAAAAAATTCTGGCAGTAGTAATACATCAAGTTCTATATCAAGCTTTATATATAACAATAACAATAATACAAGAACTATCAACTATAAACAACAAACAAAAATAGAAAATTTTTTATATAAGTTTACTAATGCAGATCAAAAAGAACTAGAAAGTTTGTTAGCACGTGGGTTTTATTCTGCTAGTATTTCGTTTAATATTTTGGAAAATGAAGATATAAAAGCTTTTTTTTCAAGAGCATTACCATAATTTAAATTAGCTACATGTTAATCTCTTTCAAACTCTCTTCTTACTAAAGAATATTCTGGTCTAAATACTGTTATTAATTACTTACTTGATGAAACACAATTTTTGTGTCTTGTAATGGATGGCTGGTCAAATATTTGTAAGGATTCTATTATTAATTATATGATTACAACTCCTAAACCACTTTTTTACAAATTAGTACATATGAAAGAAGATCAACATACTGCACAAAACATTGCAGAAAGAATAAATAAAGTTATGCAAGAGCTTGGTGCTGACAAGTTTGTGGCTATTATTACTGACAATATTCCTAACATGAAAGCTGCTTGGCATATTCTTAAAAATCAATATCCAACAAAAGTATTTTTAGAATGTTGGGCTCATGGAATTAATCTTTGGATCAAAGATATTCTAAAATTAGATTGGCTAAAAAACATATTAAAAACTAGCAAAGAAGTTATTAATTATTTTAGAAATCATAATATACCACTAGCTATACTTTATCGTCTTCAAATAGAAAAATATGAACATATAATTTCTTTAGTACAACCAGTAGATACATGTTGGGGATCTGTGTTTTATTGCATAGATTATTTGCTACAAACAAAAAATGCAATTCGTTTATTATTAATGGAAGAAAGTATAAAAATTAGGTCTAACATCAAAATTCATTTAATGAATAATTTTTTTTGGCAAGATCTTAAGCATCTTTGTAACTTTTTAAAACCTTTTGTTAAATTTATTTATGAATTAAAAGAAGATGTGCTACTTTTATCTGTAGCTTTTTTTAAGTTACGTCAACTAGAAACAACTGTATGTAATAATGATTATGTTCTAACTACAGTAATCACAGAGAGTATAAGGTTAGTAGAGCTACATTGGGATGACTTTTTATACAATCCAGAAACAATAGCAGCATATAAATTAAATACATGGTATCGCAAAAAAATTTTAGATCCAAACAAATGGGATGTACCAATTGAATGAGAGCTTATACATCTTGCTAGACCAGAGAATGAGGATCAACTTTTAGAAAAACTTTTAGAATATGTAGGTAAAACTGGTAGATTTTTAGCTAATTACTTATGAGGTTTAATAAAAGAAAAACTATATAATTGGTAGAATTTGGTTTAAGCTTGATACCTAGTACTAAGTAGTATAGCATTAAAATTACTGTCAATACCAGCATCATCAGCATCCTCTGAACAAACGTGATTATCTTTTAATTTTATTCACTCTAAATTATATAATCACTTATATAATCCACGTGTAGAAAAAATAGTATATATTTACTAAAATCTTCGAATTTTACGTTCTTTAAAGTGGCCACTTTCAGTTAAAGAATTAAATATAGGGGCTACTTAATTAAAGACAACATTGTAAATTTAGAATTAAATGAAACCAACTTAGATGAGAAAAATAATATAGATGTTTTCTTATCTAATAGTCTAAATAGTATAGATTATATTGATGAAATTGACGATATAGATATAAATGAAATTATAGATAATCTAGATAGTATCAACAATATAAGCAATATGAATATTATAAATGATATGGATAATGTTAAACAAATAGAATAGCACTAACAAAATATAAGTTGGATAAGAGCAAGGTAAAATATTCATATATTATCAACAATTTGTATAAACGAGTGATTCTAATGAAATATTTGTACTTATTAATTGCTATTATAGAATTAGAGTTGAAAAAGACTATTATAAGGAATTCATTTATTATCAAAGGTCAATTATTATTATAGATTTAAAGTCAAAAAAGACTATTATAGGAAATTCATTAAAGGCCCTTATTATGAGAAAAGTTAATTGAACATATGTTGTTATAGAAATGTAATTGAGCAGAAAAAAGATAAATTTAAAGTGTATATGCATCAAAAATCTACTAAATGATTTTATAAAGCATTCGACATTATCAAACTCAGCAGAGTTAAAAACACCAATAGAACGTATAATTTTAGAATAAAAAATTAAATATAGGCATTGAGATAATATGAGTTAAATATTTATATACATATTTGAATTAAAATTTTTGTTCTTCTATTAGCTAATATCTTAAATAGATATCTTTTATATACAGGTTGTCTAAATGGAGAATGTTAATGGGTTATTTCAAGTTGGGTGCTGTTATTAAAATGGAACTGTTGTTAAAAAAGACAAATGTAGAGCATTTATTCAATATAAAAAATTAGCCGAAATGGAAAATTCTAATGCAATATTTCAAGATAGCTCTTATTTGAGTTTAATTCCTAGTTTATTAATACAAAAGATTAAAGCTTTTAATAATTTTGTTGAAAAATTAATCAAATTTTATCTACTTCATTATAATTAATAATAAAAAGTGTTTATATAAATAAGTGTATTTTATTGTAAAAAGATTTATATTAGTTTATTAGTCTATTCTACAAATAGATATCTAAATCACTGTACTGCTGTACTATATAAAAAAAAAAAGAAAACTTTCGATTTACAATTTAAATATGTTAATACTGGCACAATCATGTGCATTATTTGGCCAGCTTTAATATCCTATATTTGTAACTTACATAGTGGCATGTAACTTATAATGTAAATTACTATATAAGTTATATTGTCAGATAAGTTAACACAATCCTAATTCTACTGCTAAATTTATTATTAATCATAAATTTTGGCAGAATTAGAGTTTAATTTGGGCAGAAATCAAATATAAATTTAAGAAAATTGGAGTATAAATTTAGGCAGAATTGGGGCTTAATTTGGGCAGAATTAGAATATAAATTTGGAAAAAATTAAAATATTAATTTTGGTACTATACCAAATCTAGTTACAAATTTATTAGTGCTCCACAAAAATGTATCCAAATGGATCCATATTTTTAATAGTATAAGGTTGGTGAGAATTTGAGTTGTGAGCTAATTCTACTAACATTATATTTACCAGAGTTATGAGCTAATTCTACCATATTATGTTTATCAGAGTTACAAGCTAATTTTACCACATTATGTTTAGTGAAGTTTTGAGTTAACTCTATCAAAATTATATTTTTTGAAAATTTTAACAAATAATTAATTAAATTTTACAATTATCAGAATTACTAATTAATTTATCTATATTATATTTACCAGATTACAAATTAATTAAATCCAATATTTACCAAAATTATATTTACTAGAGTTACGAATCAATTCTACCAAAATTATGCCTTCCAGAGTTATAAATTAATTTTACACAATATGTTTTGTTTAATAAAGTTATGTTTACCAGAGTTATGTTTACCAGAGTTATATTTACCAGAGTTATGTTTACCAAAGTTATGTTTACTAGAGTTATATTTATCAAAGTTATGTTTATCAGAGTTATATTTACCAGAGTTATGTTTACTCGAGTTATGTTTACTAGTTATATTTACTAGAGTTATATTTATCAGAGTTATGTTTACCAGAGTTATGTTTACCAGAGTTTTGAGTTAACTCTACCAAAATTATATTTATAAGTTAATTAATTAAATTTTACCAAATCTATGATTACTGAATTACTGATTAATCTACATTATGTTTACCAGGTTACAAATTAATTATATCTAATATTTACCAAAATTATGTTTACCAAAGTTACAAATCAATTCTACCAAAATTATGCCTTCCAGAGTTACGAATTAATTCTATCAAATTTACAATTACCAGAATTACTAACTAATTTTTACCAAAATTATATTTACCAGAATTATGAATCAATTCTACCAAAATAAAATCTTCTAGAGTTATAAATTAATTCTACACAATATGTTTTGTTTAACAAAGTTATGTTTACCAGAGTTATATTTACCAGAGTTATGTTTATCAGAGTTATGTTTACCAGAGTTATATTAACCAGAATTATGTTTACTTGAGTTATATTTACCAGTTATGTTTATCAGAGTTATGTTTATCAGAGTTTTGAGTTAACTCTACCAAAATTATATTTATGAGTTAAATATTAAAAGTTAATTAAATTCTACCAAATTTATAGTTACCAGAATTACTAATTAATTCCATCTACATTATATTTACCAGGTTATAAATTAATTGTATCTAATATTTTAACAAAATTATATTTACCAGAGTTATGAATTAATTCTACCAAAATTATACCATCCAGAGTTATAAAAGAGTATAAGTATTGTAGACAGTTAATTTTTATTTATTTTCTTTTTCTTTATTTTCTTTATAACTTATTACTATTATTATATTATTTTATTTATTATTATCTTTTATATACTCTACTATCTATATTTTACAAAAATGCCTTTATTATACTATTAATTTTATATAGTATATATATTCATGTAACTTTGAGACCAATTTTCTCAAAATTTTATTAAAACAATCTTAAAAGTAATTCTATGAAACCCTGGTATTTTGACTCGTAGAAAAATATTTATTAATAAACCTTTAGCTCTTAATATAGTAAAATTATTTGTAAATTGAAGATTATTCAAATTGTTCTTTGATTTTCTAATGTGTAATATGTAATTTTTAATTATGTTACAAAGGATTGTCATCTGTGTATCACATGACCTTATACGAAAATTAGCCTCAAAACATTATAAATAGACCCCCTCTCCCACCTTTTGCAAAATAACTTTTACATTTCACTTTCTTTTGGTTATATCTTTCTTATACAGTCAGACTTCTCTAAGTGCACTCTCTATAAATGCACACCCTCTTTAAATGTATGCTTAAGTACTGGCCCAAATATATACTTGACCTCTGTAAATGCACTTTTTATTATTATTCTCTAAATGCACATTATTAAAGTGTGGTTCTAAGAGCATGCATTTAGAGAGGTCTGACTGTATTATTATATTTTAAACTTTTTTTTGTTGTAAAAATTCACTTATAAATAATAAAATATTATTTTTTTTTATCTTTTTTTTTATCTTTTGTCTTTTATAAAGCTGCAAAAGTATACCATTGCTAAACCATATGTGTTTCTTGTTCTTTTACAGACTGCAATAAGGCATAG